ATCTAGAGGGCTGTTATCCTTTATACATGATTCATTAGATGTTCATTTACCATTCTCATTGGGAGGCTATGACTATTCCAAATTTAATTAATGAATATATTTTTCCTGCAGTTTTCATCCAGAAATTTCGTCTAACTTTCTCAGGTGCTAAAGGGATGACAACCAGAAGTCCTTATCCCTCTTGGGTGTTTAAAAAGATAAAAAAGACCATACTGGGTCAGACCAATGGTGGTTCATTTAGCTCGGTATCCTGCCTTCAGATAGTGGCCTGTGCCAGGTCCTTTTGAGGGAATGAATTAGGGTTGAGTACTCCATTGAGTGATTTTTTTTTTTTTTTGCATCTGTCATCTTTTCAGTTCCAGCAGTCAGAGACTATGGATACCCAGAGCATAGGCTGCATCCTTGATCATCTTGATGAGTTGCCATAGATGGATTTATCCTCCATGAATTACATAGCATCCTCTGTAGCTGGTTCCACAGGTTGACTGTGCCTTGTGAAGAACTACTTCCTTTTGTTTATTTTAAACCTGGTGCCTGTTAACTTAATTGGGTGACACCTGGTTCTTGTGCTGTATGGAGGGGTAAATCACACTTTCCTATTCACTTTCTCCATATCATTTATGATTGTATAGATTTTTTTCATATCCCTTCCCCCCCTTAGAAAAGAGAAGACTAAGTTGAAAAGCCCAGTCTTTTTATTCCTTCCTCATACAGAAGCTGTACCAGGCCCCTAATCATTTTTGTTGCTCATCTCCAATTCTAACATGGCCTATTTTTGAGACCGGTCGATCAGAACTCCACCTAGTATTCAAGGTGTGGGTATGCTGTATTCTTTATGAACGCATTACTCATGGTGGATTTAATACCGTTCTCTGTAGTGTTTCTATCCACCAGATTGCCTGGATGTAATCCAAGTAATATTTAGCCATGTAATAAATAAGGATAATTTCAGCCACCACTGGAATGTAGTTGCTCCTTGAATGGTGTGGGTTTTTTTTTTTTTTTTTTTTTTTTAAACACTACACAGTAACTTCATATGGCTGTATTGTCAGATGATACACAAAGAATAACTTATCCAAATAGGCCTCAGTTTGGAGATGGAAATACTGTTGTGTAACCTTTTAACTATTGAATGTCCAGTGTATCTTAATTTGTAATGCTTTCACCTCTGAGAAGGAAGGGCTAAGTCGGTCTTGGTTTCAGATCCATTGTTGATACTGCAGAGCATAAGGTGAGGGAGTGGTACTATTGTCTTGTTTTGGAAAAGACTTTTTGCCTCTATAGATCAGGTTAAGAGCCTAAAACCCTTTACAATTTCAGCAGGGTTCATTGTGAACTGTTCCTTTGCGGGGCTGAAGCTGCCTGCTGTCCTGACCTGTCAGGTTTCCTGCCACCCGGCCCATCCAGTTAACCAGTTATCTGTCTGGTAAGCCTAATGCTTACCCAGTTACTCAGTAACTTTTTACATCCCTAGTCTGAGCTTTGATAGTGGAACAGAGCCCAAAGCCAGAAGTTTTGCATAGTTTCAGATTTTATTGCAAACATCTTACACAGCTCTGTGCATTCTCTTTGACACTTTAGGGCACAACTGCATATGAAAGGATGCTCTGGGTTGAGATGCAGAGTTAATAGTGCCAGCCATTTCTGCCAAACTCCCTTTTGCCCATCTTTCATTTGCTGACCCAGAGAAGAACAATTCAAATTGCTGTGAGGGCAGTATGGCTGCCTGCACCTAGGTCCTCTGCTCTCTGAAAACCTCTTGGGTCTCTTGACCTTACCTGCCTAGGTGGAATTAGATTAGGGCCTCGGTATGCTCTCATGTACAGCTGGTCTCTGACTTACGAATGAGTTACATACCAAACACTCGGTCATAACTCGATCTGTTCGTAAGTCTAATTGCATTCACTTATGTACGGCTACGTTGTTCGTAAGTGCCGATTTCATTCGTAACTTGGGGACCAGCTGTATAGGAGGTTGGTCATAAATACGAACGGTCGTAAGTTGACGCGTTCGTAACTCAGGGACCAGCTGTATTCCTAACACTTATCTCCAGACGGGTCTCATTGGGTTTCAGACACTTTCATCTTCTCACTTTAGGGGACTTGTGACTAGTGATGGTGTCCAACAACCTTCTTAAAACAAAGTTTTTATTTAATAGGACCAGGGCATTAGAGAAAAATGGCATATGGGTACCAGTCTAATCTTATGCTTCGCGACAAGCAGCAAGGGGAACTTCTCTCTTGAATTACAGTAACAGCTAACATTCATTATGTTAGCAAGTTCAGATCCTCTGTAAGTCTGAACATATCTCAATCTGATTCTTTCTGATCATACCCTGTTTGAACTCTCTTCTTTTTGGGCGGGGGAGATGGGTGGTGAAGGAAAGGGAAAAGAGTGCTGCCTGGAAAAAGGACTAGAATCCTTGTTACTTGGTCTGGCATTATTAATGACCTTTTTACTGTAAGGTGTTAGGTGACTGTCAGAAAGGGCTGCTTCTTTTTGCCCTTGGTTCTGCTACCTAGATGAAACCAGAGGGTCAAATATCCCTTCCATTATCTGATACAGTAATACCACCGCAGTGATAGGTTGATACAACCATTAAGAGCATTTGTTGCAGATGTCATGGCTAGGGATGTAAGCGACTAGTTAACTATCTGATAAGCTTATGCTTATCAGAGATGCAGCAAGGTATGGGAGCAGGAGCTGGTGCTTGGGGGAGCCAGCTGAAAAGCTGCTTCTTCTCTCCCCCCCCTTCCCCGCCACCAGCACTGTCTCAGTGGTGGAAAGGGGAGGCAGAGGCATAGCAGGGAAACAGTGCGAGTGGGGACTGTGCTGCCCTGTGGGGCTCTTGCTACATTTCAGAGGCTTGCCCCATGTTCCCCGCTGCTCTTCTGCTTTTTAAATGTAGTAAGAGCCATAGGCGGCTCTTACTACATTTAAAAGACTGAGGCACAGCTGGAATAGCAAGTGCCCCGCCTCTCTCTTACTGACTAATCGAGTAGCTGATGGAAATTCCATCAACTGCTTAAGTGAAATTTAACATCCCTAGTCATATAATTCAGAGTGCCATAGGGAGAAATTGCCAACATATTGATGCTAATGCAGTTGTAGGGGTGATCTTAGTGCAAGCTAGGACTTGGAGGCCTGGGTTTGGTTCCTGGCGCAACAGTAGACTTCCTGCATGACATTGGGCAAGTAACTTTATCTGCCTATTCCCTCCATTCCATATTTAAAAAGAGAATTCCTCTCACTGCACTGTGTGAGATAGAGGGTTTGCTCTGTTAAGAGTTGTGCAGTGCTGTGATACTAAGATGCTCAGGCTCATTTTAATCACTGAGGGTACGTCTAGACTACATGGCTCCGTCGACGGAGCCATGTAGATTTGTTCGTTCGGCAAAGGGAAATGAAGCCATGATTCAAATAATCGCAGCTTCATTTAAATTTAAATGGCTGCCCCACTCTGCCGATCAGCTGTTTGTCGGCAGATCAGGCAGTCTGGACGCTCCCCAGCCGACATGAAAGCCCTTTATCAACCTCCCCGGTAAACCTCATCCTACGAGGCATAACAGGGAGATCAATAAAGGACTTTCAGGTCAGCACGGGAACGTCCAGACTAGGGTGCTGAGCCAACAAACAGCTCTTTGATCAGCTCTCTGTCGGCTCAGCATGGCAGCCATTTAAATTTAAATGAAGCCGCGATTATTTAAATCACGGCTTCATTTCCCTCTGCTGAGCAGCCTAATCTACATGGCTCCGTCGATGGAGCCATCATGTAGTTTAGACACACCCTGATAGTGCCCATACTGAATAAAGCAGCATGAGGCTGTATGTCAATAGTCAGACTGGCAGAGGCAAAGATAGCAATCACTATATGTCCTTGTAAACAGTCCCTAACTTATCAGGGGAACTGCTCTGGGAGAATCTGACTTCTGTTATATTCCATCTGACTTTTGATCAAGATGGTGACTTTTGTCTCTCTTTAAAGACAGCGATTAAGAAGAACAATCCACGGAAATACCTGCGCAGTGTTGGTGATGGAGAGACAGTAGAATTTGATGTGGTCGAGGGAGAGAAGGTGAGAGAATCTGAGATGGAGAAAGATACAAATAGCCACCTTTTTCCCTGTGGGGGATTGGACGTAGGATCATTTTGTTGTGTCCATCCTCCACTGCTCTGTCTAATCTAGTGATAGCAGTTCCATTTCGAATAATTAGCCATTTCTGATGGGATACTGTTGCCCTGTCTAATCTTTCCAAAGCATGTTGTGATCTCCACATTGAAATTGTGCCTCTTTAATTTCTTTTCATGGCTCCTATGGGCTGTAAAACTTTCTTATTTGACCAGATTACTTTTTTTAAATAAGAAGGCTGTACGTGTTTACAGGCATATTTTGTTTCACACTGAATAATGTTGTTGTTCTTCCTTGATAATTGTACTCTTCAAATACTTGTACATTAATACTGTGCTTATGGTGGGGGAAGTTGATTTCCCCATCTTGGTTCCTTTTTCTGGGTCTGTCAAACTTCCATGTGGTTATTGTACATGGCTTTTCACCACCTTACTTTCTATTTCTATCTCAGGGTGCAGAAGCAGCCAATGTCACTGGCCCAGATGGTGTCCCTGTGGAAGGCAGTCGTTATGCTGCAGATAGGCGGCGTTACCGACGTGGTTATTATGGCAGGCGCCGTGGACTGCCTCGTAATGTAAGTTGGGCTCATTTTTAGTTCCCGCGTGCTCACTTCAACTCCAGATCCTGAGATTCCCTTCATGAGAATCAGGGAATTGCAAGTGAAGTACTATATCATGATGAAGAAATCCCTGAACATGGAGCCAAGTGGTATGTTCCTCCTAACATGCCTAAAGGGGAGAAATCTATCCTCTCACAATATTTTGTGACTAACATGTTGGATCTAGGGCTGTCAATTGACCTGCATTGACCTGTGATTAATGCAGGACAAAATTAATGCATTAATTTTTTGTAATGTGTTAATGCTGTGCTGCGTCTTTGAAGTGCTGGAGTTTCCAAGGGGCAGTGCATTAGGATCCAGGGATCAGCTGGGCAACTTCCGGCTGATCTTGAAGGACCGTTTTGGTGTTTTAAAGGGGCAGCTCAGAGACACATCATCTGGAGTGCCCAGCTGATCCCCGGCTCCTAATGCGATGCTCCTTGGAAATTCTGCTGTGGTGCTTCCAAGGGACAGCACTGCATGGAGCTGGGGGTCATCTGGGAGGGGAGGGGGGGGTCATTGATCCCGGAGTCTGTACAGCGCTGCCCTGGCAGTGTTTCAAAGGGGAGACGCATGTGATAAATCATATGATTAATTGGGATTAAATGTTTTAAATTGCTTGACAGCCCTAGTTGGAATTGAAATACAGTAAAACTCCAATTGTCTGGCATCAGTGGTCTGGCATATCCCGATAATCTGATACTCCGGCATATCCGATAATCTGGCACCACCTAGGTCCCAAAGGTGCCGGATTATCGGAAGTCTACTGTAGTACGCTCAGCCACTTTGAGCTTTTCTGAAGAGACCTTTTTTCTGTTTGCCACTCGAAGAGTATTTAAAAGTGGTAGTTTTTGAAAGTATTTTCCTCCTTTAAAAATGTCTCCATTTTCTTTTTGCATAGTGAACTGCACTCACTCTGTTCACTCTGTCGTTTTTGGTTCCATTTACATGGGCCTTGTCACAGCTCAATTCCCCAACCTGGCACTTCGAGAAAAGATACGGGAGTTGGCTAGCAGAATGTACTCTGTAAGAGCCTGTCTCTAACTCCTCAGACAAACTTGTCTAGTCTGTTTCCCTGAGACCCAAAAGGAAGACAATCGGTCGCTGCCACCACCCAAGCAAAGTAAAAAAACAAACCAAAAAAACCCCACCATTTTCCAGGGAAGAGATCACATGGGAATCCCCTTCCTCCCATGCCCCAACCTCCATTTCGCTTGGAGTTGGAAAAACATACAGGGGGAATCC